ACTTGTATAGAGTTGATTTATGTCATCAACTGAAGAAAGTGATATTCTTAGTCCAGATTGATCTGTTATGCTGCATTGCTCTGGCTCCCTAAGTCATCTTGTCTGTTAGTATCTATAGCTAAAAATGGATTATACTCTTTGGAGTGGTCCGTAACATTAATGAGGAACGAAGATTAATTTTTTTTCAGTTTGAGATTTGCTGTGTCTGGATGCAGGGGGTAATGCTCTTACTTCCGTGATTTTTGAGCTAACGTAGCTATAAGCTCCTGCTGCTTCATGAATCAATTCCACTCACTCACTTTGCCAGCTAACACTTTTGAAAACATTTTTGCTGCTTGGCTATTTTTACACATCTGTATTCAGATATATTTGCCCTTTGTTATGTTATGTTCAGTTTGTTGATTGCCACATTGCTTGTGCGCTTCTAGCCTTACCACGAACTGTATTCTGATGCAGTTAAAAATGAGAGTAATCATTGGATGTGAACTTTACAACAGGACTTGAACTGCAGATGATATGAATATTGGTATTGTCATAAAATTGTTTGCTTGAACAGCTAAAAATTCTTTATCAACCTAGCAAAGGTGATACAAGCAACATTCCTGAAGGCCTTTTCTGTTGGTGTTTCTTTTATTCTGTTGCTTATGCTTTCCTAGGCAATGATTCCTTTACAGTCTGAGCTAGGTTATTTAGTAAATAGACAAGTGTGATTTGTGGTTTTGCTGGGACACAGATCTACTTTTCTGTGTGTGAACAGATATTTACACGTGTCATTCAGGAAAGGCGTATTTATTTTGTGTATGTCAGTCTCTGTTGTGGTGGCCCTCAATTTCTTAATAACTTCCCTACATGTGATGAGTTCTCTGATTTACTAATATAGTTCATTCTCAATTTAAGATAATACAGCCTTCCGGCAACAACTTAACTTTTAAGACTTATAGTAGCTGTATGCCATTTCTCCATCTATCAGTAATTTGTGCCTTGTTTTTCATTAGAAAAATACTTTTAATAAGGTTCTGTATTCATCATGAGAAAAAAAAAAAGGAAATCAATGGTAAATTTTCTATACCCAGTCACATAATAACTTTTGAAATATGGCATTGAGTAGAAAATCATGTGTATGGGAAGTAAAATTCAGATAACTCTACTGGCTTTTTCTGAAGCTTGTTAAGAAATTCAGACTGAACTGCCTGTAATATTATGTGCCTCCTTGAGGTGCACTGAGCTTAATAGTCAAATTGTAACACACTGTTTTTAAGATTAATATCTTAATATCCATGTAGTAATAAATCTGTAATTTGTAACCAAACACTTTCATAGCCAATTTGTTTCCAGTAATACATTGTCAGACCACCATTTCTGCTCTTATCCATGTTTTGATTAATTTCTATATAAACCCTACAGAAAGATTGTTTAAATTGATTCCCTGTTAATTTCTTAACTCCTTTACTTCTGGTCTCATTCTTTAAGTGTCCTTTACAAAATACAAACATTCAGCTATCAGTGGAAAAAAGGGTTTCATGCCATTATTAAGATAAACTATCTAGATTAAAACCAAAGCCTGATTCAATATAGCAATCTAGTATCTTGGGAAAGTCTCAAGGAAGACATTTGCTTTAGTGTCTCTTTTAAGATTATGAAAGGTTTGACTCTTAATAGCGGAAGGTAATAGTGTATTTTAATAAAGACATCATAGCATCAAGACTTGTATGTGTAAATGCTGGGACTATTTGGTGAAGTGAACGTAGCCCAGCTGGAGATATTTTAATAGTGTGAAGGGCCTCCTAGGTGGGACTCTAGCTGTGTAAGATTTCAGTTAAATAAATAAAAAAAAAATTAAAAATCCAAAAATGGAGGAGGAATGCATTTAGACTTCTGACTAGAAGAGTTTGTTCTTTACACAGGAGACTTAAAGTAATAAGCATCTGTCCTCTGTATTAGATGAAGAAGGTTAAATACGTGTGTTGAGATGACCATTTGGGAATTCGCACATAAACATACGAAAGCATATGATCACCAGTTTAATAAATTACTGGGGTTTGTACCCTCAAAGCATTAACTCATTTCTCTCCACCAATTTTAGCTTAACATTAGATTATTTACAAATCATCTTCAAAGAGGTAAGGACGTACTTGCACCGTTTTCTCTATAGTTGATAAGAAGAAAATACAGTTTGAGTCTTTTAAATATACATCTGAAATTAAGCTTTTATCTATACTATAAAACTTGAAGGCTATCTAGATAACAAATCCAATTATGGTTTAAGCACTTGAGAATGTGAAATCTGACTTAATTGCTTATTTGAAAAGAAAATTACCTCTTTCAACTTCTTATTATTAAAACTCTACAGTTATTTTTATCACTATAAAAAAGAACAAGCTTGGAAGAGAAGCCCTCTTCATGGAGTTCACACTCTAGTCTTTGTTACTTAATACTCAAGCTGAAAATTTGAGTCCTTGTACAAACTTCCGATTGTCTAGAAAATAAGGCAGAAAAAATACTTTGTGATAGATAGTGTTTGTATTCTTAGATATAGCATTAGAGAAAATTAATTTAAGCATTAGAAAGAGCAAAATGGGCATGATTTTTTAAAAATTTCATTATCTTTATAAAAAGGTTGTCATTATTGCTGAACATGCATAAAAATAACAACAGACTTTACCAAATGCAGTGGGAATGTGCTGTTATGATATAAAAAAGTTGGAAGTGATGAAGTCACATTTCCATTTCATTTAAGGGTTCTAGAGCTGGTTTAGGAGTGAATGCAGCTTTACATGTAGCTTTGCGTTTGCAAGAGAATTAAATACAGGGCCATTGCACTTGCTGCTGCTCAGATCGACAGCCTCTGACCACTCCTCAAGTGAAAGGCTGGAGGACAGAGAAGGGATGAGACATAAGATTGTATCCTATGCAAATAAGATTCAGATATTTGCTCAAATCCCATTTGCCTCCTCGAAAGAGCAATACTTCATGTGTATAAATTTGACTGCATCTCTGGATGTAAAATTGAGTGTGATAACCAGTTACCTCAAGTGTCCATTTCTTTGGAAATTAGACTGGAATCTTAAAACCTTCATACATCTATATTAAAACCCAAGAGTGACAGATACTCATTTCACAGAAAAAACTTGAAGAGATTTTCAAATTCAGTCACGTATCACCCTAATGGAAGAAGCAGTGACAATTAATTTCTTGCTGGGCAGAATTGCATGAGAGGCCAGGGAAGAATGCATGAGAATGGTGTGAGGAAATGGATGTAATTTTTATTAAACTGAGATAACTTTTTAAAATTTTAATGTAAAACTCAGCCAAAGATCTCTGTAGATAAGTAAAATGAAAAGATGTTCTACTATGTTCTACTCTTTTCTTAAAAGCCTATCAAATATATAATGGTGGTCCAAGCAAACATCACCCAATTAATCCCACTGGTTTTGATGGAAAGTATGAAATACTATGAAGACGTTTGTGAAGACTAGTAGCCTTGGTTGGACAAAGTACCATTTTTCTAGTATCTAAACAATTAGAAATGTTACCTAAAAATCTACTACATCTTCATTAGACACTGACTTCATCTGGCCAATGATATTTAAGATATCTTTGTTTTAGTAGAAAAATTGGATGGATAGAAGGACTAAGCAAAGGGAAAATTAAGAGTGAGGAAAGAAAGTAAGCTGAAACAGTGGAAAGGAAGAGAGAGAAAATATTTGTATGAAGAAATTTCTTGTGAAATATTCGGTAGAGGCTTTTGTCTCCAGGTAGGATCTAACTTGGGTTTTGTTTCCAGGTAGGGTAGATTTAGACTAGATATAAGGCAGAAGTTTTTTACAGTGAGGGTGGTGAAACACTGGGACAGGCTGCCCAGAGAGGTGGTAGAAGCCCCATCCCTGGAAACATTGGAGGTCAGGTTGGACAGGGCTCTGAGCAAACTCATCCAGCTAAAGGTGTCCCTGCTCACTGCAGGGGGTTGGACTAGATGGGCTTTAAAGGTCCCTTCCAACCCAAACTGTTCTATGGTTCTGTGATCTCACGTTTCTATTGACAGGTATCATGTAGATAAGCTTTGAGAAGTGAGACTCCTTTGCACATATATTGTGATTGTGCCCAGTCATCCAGATATTTTTTGATTACTTCATATATTACTACTAAATAATAGTAACTGTCAGATAAAGATTTTTCTTTAAATCTGTCAGTTTGTCTCTTGAACAATTTATCGAAATTAGATTAGTTTTATGTGAACTGAAAATATATATTTTTATTGCGCCTTGCTGCTGGTCACTGCCTAAATCAGAAAATGTGATAGGCAACACCAGGAGCTTTTCTGCTCTTGAAGGAAGTGTCTCATCATGGAGGACTGCTAGAGAAGAGGGCTAGATACTTAGAAATGTGAATTCTGTTTCTGACTTGGAGAATAAAAGTCCCCAGGATAAATAAGTGAGTTTCTAACCACATACTTTGAATTTTAATCAATAATGCTGAAGGCTTTTCCTGCTTAAGATACTTCTGTATTGATAAAGTAGGTAATTATCACATTATAAGAATAGTTAATTATTATTGCTTTAAAAAGTTTAATTACAGCTTTTAGCAATTCATGTATATTCCATAAGAATTGCCTTTTCTTTGTTGATGGTTTGAAATATGTGCAAAAATTATTGATGGGGTAACATTAGCAAAAGGATGTCAACTCCCTTAGCAGTCTAATGGAGAAAATGGGGTCACTCGTTTCTGTTGCTGTCACTCATGGGGTTTTGAAGTTAATCTCTCTATGATTCATCAGTCTTTTAAAGCATAGAATGCTTTTTCAGCCAAATCTTAAAGGTAATATGATGCTTTATTAGTGTTTGAACTGTAAAAGGCCTTTTAATACTTTGTTGAGATGTGCATGGTAAATCTAATATTATTTAATTGTAGAGCAAAGCAAGAGGAGTGTTATATGGGATTATGGTTATAATTATTTTTACTGGTAATTTTGTAACTGTCCTTTGATTGTGCTCCATGCATAGGGCGTTGGCCTCTCAGTCCATGGACATTTCCGAGTTTCTACAGAAAAGACACTGTTCGCGATGCCAGAAACAGCAATAGGTAAGTATTTTAACAGATTATTACATGTTTAAAGTTTCACTGTTTGTGTAATCAGGATGAAATGTCATTGTCTGAAAGCAGTGGCAGTAATGAAATAATGTTTAAAAGGAATTTGAGATGACCATATATGGAAAGTATTTTTTACTAAATTAATAGAAACTTATCTGTATTCTGGGAGGTTGATCATTAAGGTCCTTAACCTGGGGTTTACTGTCTATCTAGACTGACACAAAGACTGTCAGAATACAATTTTTAAGAAATGGAAGTAGATCTGAGGGACTAAGTCTTTTCTAAAATGTGGACAGATCAAATCTGAAGATCCCAAGGCAGGTATGTCAGCTTTACGTTTGGAACTCAGTATGAGCCAAACTGGCTGTACTACAAGCTGATCTGCAGTGTTAATGAGACAGATTTTGCAATTCCAGCTTTTCTTGTAGATTATTAATGTAGACCCATTACAGTTGTGCACAGATTGTATGCAGGTGAGATCACAGTGGTGTCATCTTTTTTCACAGAATCACAGAATGTCAGGGATTGGAAGGGACCTCAAAAGATCATCTAGTCCAACCCCCTTCCAGAGCAGGACAACCTAGAGTAGATGTACCTTGTGTTTTCTGATGTTTGATCCTGCAGCTTCTTTGTTGACTATGAAATGTAGAAAAGAAATGTGCCTCAGAGCTATATGAAGATGGTGATATGACTCAAGTAAAGCCAGTCAGATTAAAGTGAACCCTCCTGTGAAATCATTCATGTTTCCCTTCAAGACAATTCTGGCACCAACAAGGTATCCACATTAAACCTGTCATGGTCTGGCACACGTGCTCCATTAGTGCTTTCATCAACGTTCAAGTCCCTTCTCCCTGCTTATCAACAATGTTTATGAAGAAGAGTGTTCAAAACCTATCCTGCATTCCTCCTGCAAAATTTCTAGTGTCTATATCTTTCCAAAGCAAGGGAGATGAAGGATGATGGCAGTTGTTCTTACCTTTATGTCCTCAAGCAGGGGAATGAGCCTTGTCTGTAATATGTGGCCCTGTTGAACACATTTATTCAGAACAGAGAACCTTATCTGGTGGTTAAACAGCTTAAATGGCACCAGGCATGGCACTGTTAGGTTCAATCTTAGTTTCACCTCAAAGAATTAGTTGTAAGGAGTAGTGACCACTATTTTCTTAGAAGAATTTCTAAACAGTTACATAATGTTAAAACTAAGAAATAATGTGGAAAAAAAATCAGGACTGAGTTCTGAAAAGTCAGTAAAAGTTATAATATTCTGCTTTTGTTGAGAATATTTTAAATAATAAAGTCATACAATCACAGAATGGTTTGGGCTGGAAGGGACCTTAAAGACCAACTAGTTCCAACCTCCCTGCCATGGGCGGGGACACCTTCCACTAGACCAGGTTGCCCAAAGCCCCATCCAACCTGTTATTACAACTAAAGTTAAAATGCATGCTTAGCTGATGATTGGATTTTTGTAGTGCCCCCTGTTAGTGATGCTTGAAAGGTCTAGCATTTTTCATATTTTTAAAGGGTGTCTTACATATCTTGTTTATTGTTTATTGCTAGCCAGCCTGTATGAAACATTTCACAAGACGTATTCTAAAATTCTTAAAATTTTAAATAAGCTGTGAGCGTCAAGTCAAATAAAACATAATAAATGACCCAAATGTAAGCAAGCTCGTTATCATTTTAACTCCTGAAAAAAATATTAGACCAGTTCCCGCTAGCTGATAAATGTAATTTAATTTTTCTGAACAAATAAGTTTGCAATGAGGAAAACAAAAACTATTGCAGCCCTCCAAGTATTTTTCTTTGCTGATGGAAAACTTAGTAAACTAAGTAGCTCAGGCATTAATACAACATGAGTTTGCTGAACTACTGAGGTTTATAATCAGTTGTACAGGAAAACCATTCGAAGGAAACTTTTTTTGTTTTGAAATTCAACAGAGAGGTTCTTTGGCATATAAAGTTATTCTAATAATAAAGATGCCTTCTTCACTTTCTTCTTCAAAGATAAACATAGGAGTAGTCTTACAGTAATAAAAGTGTACTTTACGTACATTTCTTGTGTTGATCAGGACTTATTTAAACAAAAATACTGTTAAGACATGTAACGGAAAAGCTTAGAACTTACTTAGGAAAGAGAGTAATTAAAACCCTTTTAGGATCAATTAGAGGTAAAAACACTGAAATCTGTTTGGATTTAAGGGCTTAGCTGTTTTGATCTCTGTGGTGTATGTTTAAAATGTCTAGCTGTCTAGATATTGTATTATTTTTTTCATACGTTCACTTATTGCAGTAGGCATTACACCTTTTTTGTGAAATGAAAACAAAGTGTTCATGCAGCTGCTACATTTTCACACAATTATTCTGCATTTGTACGCCACCATAAATAAAAGGATATAGATAGATATGCCACTTTGCAAATAGAAATAAAAGGCAGTTCTAGACTGTAGGAGTTTAAAACAGACATAGATAAGATAAAGCACTGGAAAGCAGCTTATGTGTAGGAGGGTGTGGAAAAACCACTGTTGGAAAGAACAAAAGATTAACGTATTTTGTAAGAGATGGGCTTTAAGGTGATGTTTTAATAATAGTAGACACTTTCTTCTATATCCCTCTAAGTTTTCAGCTTTCTTTAAGTAATTTACTAATAAAGGTCCAACCACCTCTGCAAGATAAGGTAGGAATGTAGTAGCACTACCTGTATCTTATGCCTGGCAACTGCGGAAGTTTCACAGTTGGGATTACAGTGAAGTGTGTTCTATCTGTCTCGGAGCACTGACTACAAGTCAGCATTACTTTTAGCCTGGTCAGCCCAGCAGACATTCAGTTCTTATTTAAGTAGGGATTTAAGAAATAATTGGTAAATGCTATCAAAAGGGAAAAAAGACCCCAAGTATATGGAATACATTCGGAGAAACCCAGTAGCAAACAGAAACATATGGGACACATTATTGAGAGAATTAAGAAGAGTATGTAGAACAGGGACAAGAGGAGTAAAATTGTAAGTAAGGAAGACAGGGACCTTGAAAAGCATACATCAGCAGCTATAGCAGACTACAGTTATGCAACCAAGTAAGTTTAAAGTGGATTAGTTACATCTTCACTAATCCTGTTTGTAAATTCCTTAATAATTAAAGAAACCTTCATTCAGTTTAGTTTTATTCACCTCTAAAGCAACTTAAGCTAATCAACTTCACAGTTTTATTTAGAACTAATTGCCCTGTGTCTGGCCATGTGGAAGGGCCCTATAGATCCCAATAGGAAGATGGCTTTTCCTCTGGAAACTTGGTGCAGCATGGGGAGAAGTACTTCAGCATTGGTATTTTAATTACAGCAAAGAGGAAGAGGTTGTTGCTGTTGCAGTCCTCGTGGATGGGGAGAATAATGTAACTGACTTTGTGATTTGGAGGGCATTTTTAAGAGATGTTTCATTTTGAAATGAGGGATTTTTTTCAGTAGTAGGATATCCAAGGGGAGATAGATGAATAGAATCAAAAAACTAAATTACAGTTTGGCATCAACTTTATAGATATGGTGGCTCAAACTGAGAAGGTAAAATGCAGAGCAGACTGTTCAGAAAGTGCGTACAGATGCAAAAGAAGGTAAGTGATGAATTAGGGTTAATACAGCTTAGGGCTTTTAAAGGGCGCCAGCAAGACATTCAGCATTTTAGGAGAAGAACGGTACGTCTCAGTAGCCTGTGGGATGAGGAATAAATCAGTTAATGGCAACACACACAGGGCGAATGGGAATAGAATACTACAACCATAACTGATACGAAGTGGCTCCTAAAAACAATTTTTTGATATATTAGATGCAGCAGAGCTATGGGAGTACCAAGAGGGAACCAGAGGAGAAGTTGAGAGATGGGTGAGAACATAAGGCAGTGATGAACTTTAAAGATTATTGAGAAGAGGAAAACACTGAAGAGAAGCTGTCTGAAAGAAACCTCCCCTTGATTCCATACAAGGGGGAGGAATATTCAGGGACCACTAATTTTGCACATTTTAAAATACTTCTAATAGAATCCTTCTATAATACATACATTGACTCTTCTGTGACTGAAAGCAATTACCTGTGAGTGAAAAATTACCACCTTTAGTCAGAACCACATTTAAACTCCTTATGTACCTCTCAAACTTCCCAGTTAATATCTGTCCTAGGTTACAGTGTAAAATGTG